GAAAATTATTTTCATGAAAAATATTTTTTTTTATCATAAAGTTTTTCGTGAAACAAGGCGCGCCATTGGTAGCGCGTCTGGTTGGTCGGACCGTTCGTGTCAATGTTTTTCACCTTTAGCGAGTAGATTTATTCGATAAGCAAAATTTGTACATTATTTTTTAGATTACTTGCCTGATAAAACATTAGTCCTTTAGAACGACCTCCACGATTTGGCTCACTATTCGCATCGCAGCCGTCCAGTCTCCCTGCGCACCGTCGCCCTCCGCTGCTCGCCCCCGGTCCCTTAAACGACGAACCTCTCGCCGCCGCCGCCGCCAACAGGTCCGTTCTCTCTCTCTACACCAAGCTCAGCATGTCGCAATCTAGGGGTTCCGATTGCCGAAAACCCCAGGAGAAATCTCGTACTGCCAGTGACGCGCACGGTCGAGAAATGGAGCGGAGCTTGTTTTTTTTTGTTGGGTTTCTAGCTTCATTTTTGTTAGGGTTTTTTAGTGGCGTATCGACAGGGACTGTTGGAATTGGAGTGTGCCATGGAGTTGTTCGGCGCTTCATTCTGAAGAAGTTTGGTGGAAGAAGGTATGGCGGAGCGCAAATGTAGTGGAGATGCTTTTGGGGGCAAGAGGGCATTGGACCGTGACGACGTTCGTTTTCATAGTATCCCGAACTGATGAGCGAGAGCGAGTGTTGAGATCAGGAAAAAGAAAAATGGACTTGATGTGTAGGATGCTTTCCTTCAGATGCAGCGCGGCAAGAATAACCCTAAAAGTAGGTTGTGGGAGCATTTCTCCGAGACCATGTGGGGAGTTTTCTCCGGGGGGCTTTTCGCGTCGTGAGTGCTGAATTCCTTGTCGAAAGCTGTGTACGGCGAGGCGAGATTCGATTTGTTTGCTGTTTCTGCTATCTTCGTCGAATCTGACGATCGGTTTTCTGGCCTTTTCTTATCACATGTTGATTTTCTTGCGTGTAATTGCTTTGCCGAGGCAGCTCGCTGTCTGACTTTAGCTTCAATTTCTGTGGCTTTCGTGTTTGTATTCATCTTGGGAGTTCAAGATTTGCTTTTAGTTTGCGGTGACTTGATGTTTATTAGTTGTAATTTTCATTGCAATATCTTTTATTTAAGAATTTGATATAGTTTTTTCAGTTTATGGACATGGTTGAAGTTCTCTATCTTGCTTTCTCTTGCCCTTTTGTTTTTTCAGTAAATCCCATGACTTGATGTTGGCATTTCTGTTGGTTTCTAGATTGGACAGCTTCTTATTTTAGGTAGATTAATTGGATGGACAATTGACAGAACAATTTGACATGGGGTAGCAAATGTCTCACGATCCTTTTCTCTTTTCCCTTGAGGAAAACACCTATATGGCGTAGCTTGGTCCACCGTCGCAATATATTGCTTTTCATAACCGTAAACTAGCAAATTAGTGATAAAGTGTCTGTAAACTTACATGTACAGAACTGTATTGCCTTCTGGCTGAAGATCAAGTGTGTGTTAACTTGCATATGTAGATAATGAACAGAGGAGGGGGGGCAGGAGCAGGACTAGGTAGTGGGAGTGGGCCCACGGCTGCTGCAGCAGCTGCAGCTGTCCAGAAGCAGAGGGCGCTCTTACAGAGAGTTGAAACCGACATTGGCCACATTGTCGACAATTTCAGTCAGCTTGTGAAAGTCGCCAGAGTGTGTATTCTTTCCTCCTTGCCCCTTCGAGTCTGGAAATCTTTATCCCTTTCTCAGTATTAATCATAACAATGGTTAAGATTATCTGTCCTTTTCGCTTGTGTGAGGTTAGATTGAACATCAATAAACTGTCTCTTTGTCACTTATTGACTACCATGTAGTGTGAGGTCTACATCTGCTTTAAATGTATCGACTTGATACTGGACTAAGGTATCGTGAGGTTATATCGATAGATAGGAGGGAAGGTTGCTTAAGCTCTTGTAAGCTGTGGAAATTGGGAAAGAGTAAATGTTTCCGTGATCTCGTTCTTCATCAATGGAGTGAAAGTGTTTTTATTTTCCAAATGGAAAGAAATCTGTTTGAGATCTTTGAAGGTTTTTGTGATGGACCTTTTAATAGTGAAGAATGGAGACCTAATCAGAAATTTTCAAGATGTCATGGTGAGGGAATACAAACTGATAAAGTATGGATAATATTCAAAATGTGGATGCTTACTTCCTGGTATTGATGCTTTCGAAAATATGAGCTTAGATCAAATAGATGATAAAAGTAAAGTCTGTCTTTCCCACCCTAGTGATTCAAGTAGCATGTACACTCCGAGAGATTTTTTTTTTTACACATAACATACGAATAGATATTACTCTTATAAAAAAATAAAAGAACAGTTGTTCTGTACTTTCATCTTAGATTTGAAATTTACAAACTGGGAAGGGTTTGATATGTGAAGAGCATCCATCATGATATTGACTCAGTATTCTCACTTACGGCAGGTGAATGACCCTCCGGTCAGAAACTCACAAGAAGCTTTCATGATGGAGATGCGCGCAGCAAGAATGGTAAGATTTGGACTTCAATCTGAAGTGAGGTTTGGCCATTTAGTTATTGTAACCTACAAAAGAAGTTGAATGTGCTCATTAACCCAAAAAGCAGTTCATGTTCGCGCGCGCGCGCACACACACACACATATATATATTCTTGCTGCGTGTCAATTTAGTATATCTCTGCTGAATCCATGAGAGACTCACAATTGCAGAGCTGTGAGACTTCTAGAAAATGGATGTAGAATTTCTCTTTCATGATAATAGGCATTTCATTATCTCAGAGATTGCATTCGCCACACATGTATTAGCAATAAGCAATAACCATAATGCGAAACAACCCTCACAATCTGGATTTTCTGTATAGTTTAAATGAACTTGAGGGAACACAAGTGGTCACTCCAAAATTAGTTACTCGAATCGGCGATGCAGGTGGCTTAGGATTATTAACTTTTCAAGGAATATGATGAAGTGGCGACAGCATCTTTCTATAGTTTAAATGAACTTGAGGGAAAATAAGTGGCATAACCTTGAGATTAGTTACTTGAATAGGTGATGTGTGCGGTTAAGGACTAAAAACTTTTCAAGGAATGTTATTAAGCGGTGGGAGCATCTACTCGCAACGCATCAGAAATGTTAACCCTGGATTGATCTTCTTTACTTTCTGAAGCTTATCAAAGAAGCAGCTTCTCTGTGCTAATGTATTCGTCTCCTCCTCCATCTGATGCATGTACCAAAAACAGGTTCAAGCAGCTGATTCGCTGCTGAAATTGGTATCGGAGCTGAAGCAGACTGCCATATTTTCGGGATTCGCATCTCTGAATGACCATGTCGAACAGAGAATCGTTGAGTTCAACCAACAAGCTGAAAAATCGGATCGAACATTGTCTAGAATTGCAGAGGAGGCAGCTGCCAGTCTCAAAGAGCTTGAATCTCATTACTACTCTTCATCACAGAGGACGACTCATCCCACAGAATCTTAGTGGAGCATGGCCGTGATCTTGTGTATTGATTTCTGGGATTATTTGGACTTGTTACTTATCTCGAAGCTAACAACAGCTATGTACATTATATCGAGCTTCTTGGTATTCTTTAATTTTAGTTTTTAATTATATGCTCTGTTTACTGTGCGGGAATTTTGACACTTCTGAAATTTTTTTTTGAAAAAGTCATTTTTTAAGGAAATAGCAATATTTTTCGGTGTTTGATCGAAATTTGAAAATGAATTGGGAATTATTCTTCGTTGTTTGGAACGGAAAATTTTGTTTTCCTAAAGAGGCATGCACTATTCACGATGCGTGTATATGTTTATCGCAGTCTACCGGCGAGGATCTAGTAATTTGGTAGAAAATACAAATAGCGTCATTCATTAACTAAACTTTTGAAGTAATTGAATACCTTGATTTTGAATTGATAAAGTTAAGGCTCATCTCATTTTATTAGACCTGGGTTCGGCCATCGAGGTCCTGGATACTTAGGCACGATGGTTGAAAACTCGGGCATGGGTCGCTGAGGTCTTGGATCAAGCCTTGAGGGACCTAGGGCTAGCCGTTAGGGTCCGGAATCTGGGTGTTGAGGACCCCGCCTCGGTCAAAGACTAGGCCCCGACCACGGGGGACTCGAGCCACCTGCCGAGGTTCCAATTGGAGGAGTCGGGTTTCTCGAGTCCAATCGTTTGGAACTTGAGCACGGGCGCTAGGGACCGGTGCCCAATCTTGATTGACTAGGCTCGGGTGTCGGTGATTTGGGTGCAGGATCCGAGTAGTCGAGCATGGCCGCCATTGACTCTAGCATGAACATCGGGGTGTCAAGCCCGGCCTTGAAAGACTTGGGACCCACCTCTTTATACTCAGGTCTGATCTAGATCTGGCCTCAATGGATATTAGCCATAAGTTTTTGTTGCTCCGTTGATTATATATAAAATATTTGGTGTAACATTAAACAAAACTTTTATACATGTTAAATAGTTCTACCACATTGCATTAGTAAATGAAAATTCGACGAAGAAAATTGTGAACACATGCGATGCATGGATCTTTCAACTATTATTTGGTTCGTCCATGTCTTCGTTTCCATCGTACAATGGTGTAGGATAATATCAACTCTACTTCTATTAGCACTGTGGTGGGACAGTGACAATGGCCTTGTTCAAAATGACGATAATTCTTGCTCAAACTAATGTTTTTATCATAAGTGTAAAAATTCAATAATCATCGATACCAATCGCCTATTCCTAGCCTCTATTTATCTATTTTATATAGAAAAGAAAAGCTCGCGCAGCTCTTTTTCATCAGAATATAAGCAATTTGCTATCCAATACGAAAGAAAAAGAAAAGAAAAGAAAAGAAAAGATTTGCTTAAAATCCAGCTTAAAAGGAAACCTTGTCTCAAAACCCGAAAGATGTCCAAACATGTGGGTGTCGTTTTGGAGCGAAACGGGGAGTCCTTGTACTCCATGCCCCTGACCCAGAACACTTCCGGAACGACACTCCCAAAGCTCAAAACGGCAAAACCAAAAAACTCCCCTTCGACACAAACACAACCCTCGCTCCCTCCCTCCACCGCTCCTCAGTCTCGCCGGAGATCAACCCACCCTCCGCCGTTCCGTCCCCCGCCCCGTCGGCGCCGCCCCTCCTCCTTCCCGTCTCTTCCCTTCGCCTCTTCTTCTTCTTCTTTTTCTTCTTTGTTCGTCTCTGCGGAACGGGCGTGCGTGCGTTCCAGATAGCGATGCTTTCTGTTCGGTTTTCCTCGGGAGAGTGAATGCTTATTATGTGTTGGAGCTCCCTTCCGTTGATGCTCTCTTCTTGTCTGCTCCGACACCGCGGGATTGAATGGTGAGTGGAACCGGTCCTTCGGTAGGGTCTCCGCTGCTCGTGTTGTTCTGTCTCGGCTTATCGCACCGAGTTTTTTTTTTGCCAAAGGTTCTTTCATTCGGTATATTCTTCTGTAGTTTAAGAGCTGTTCGATGTCCTTGTGCGAGCAAGTGAACATTGGTAATGTGCGATGACGTGGGTTTGTTCTGAAAATTGGTGTCCTCTGTTTTATGCGTTTCGGATTGTTTGAGCTGATTCCAACTCTTTCTTCGGTTGCAGCATTGGTACAATCGGCTCAGATAGGGTTCCTATGATCACGGTTTAGAGATTGCTGCAGTAGAGATTATTCACGGGCCGGCGATTGATTTCTTGTGACGGGTTCTTTATTTTTCACGCCCAAGAAGCGATTTTTTTACTTCCATCGGATGCCTCCTTTGCTCTTGTTCTTGGTGGTTTCTTGGGAGTTGATGGCGCAAGAATAATTCCAGTGTGATAAGTTTAATTTGAAATGCGTCGCGGCATATCTTTGTTGACTCGGCGATTTCTCAAGGACTCGCGTGTTACCATCACTACTAGTAGGGATGTTTTTGGCTCTCATTGTGGTTCTTTGGGTTCGAGAGATGGTGGTTTTCTTTTGTTTCGGTTTTTCTCGTTTACTCCGATGCACCGTCGCGGGCCCGATCCGGATGACCCCGCCAATTTGATAAAAGAAGATGGGGTGTCTGTTTGTTCACAAATGTGGATCGAGAACTTCAAAGAACCTGATAGAATTGCTACCAATTTGAGTTCTTATCTCAGAAGGTTCGAGTTATGGGTGTTGGCATATCAGAAGGCGTGCATCGATGAGACCGGTTCCTATGTGCCTAAGAGTTCAATCCAGAGAGCTGAGCTGGAGGACTTGTTGGCGCTGAGAAATGCTGTTCTTGATAATAGGTTTAGATGGGGTTCTAGGTTGGAGTTTTTCATGAAGTCACCGAGGGATAAGACGGAGTATCAGTCGTTGTCAAAGAGGAAGATTAAGGCTATCTTGACTACCACACAGCCGACCCCATTTCAGGATAAGATCGTGCAGGAGGTTTTGCTAATGATTTTGGAGCCAATTTATGAAGCCAGGTTTTCACAGAAGTCATTTGCTTTTAGGCCCGGGAGGAATGCGCATACGGTGTTGAGGGTGATTAGGAGGAATTTTGCAGGGTATTTGTGGTATATAAAGGGGGATTTGAGTACCATATTGGATGGGATGAAGGTTGGGTTAGTTATAGGTTCTTTGATGAGGGATGTTAGAGATAAGAAGATAGTTGATTTGGTGAAGGCAGCGTTAATAACACCAGTCATAACGAGTAAGCCTGATGATGGTGAACAGAAGAAAAAGAAGAAGCGAAAGTATCAAAAGAAGAGGGTGTTAGCAGAAGATGAACCAAAGCCCGACCCTTACTGGTTAGATACATTTTTCGGGTTTGCACCCGAGGAGGCGGGGAAGCTTCCTCATTGGGGACATTGTGGAATTCTTAGCCCACTTTTGGCTAATATATGCCTCGATGAGTTAGACCGTTGGATGGAGAGTAAGATAAAGGAATTTTACCGTCCATCTAAAAGTGACGTTATATGGAATAGCCCAGAAGGGGAAGCAGAGCATGGGAATACATCTTGGCCAGAGTTTGTTCCGACAAGTGGGCCTGATAAAACTCGGAAGATGGACTACGTGCGATTTGGTGGTCACATTTTGATCGGTGTTCGGGGCCCGAGAGCGGATGCGGCAACATTGAGAAAGCAATTGATAGAATTTTGTGATCAGAAATATATGCTTAAGCTTGACAATGAGAGCCTCCCTATTGAGCACATCACGAAGGGCATAATGTTCCTTGATCATGTCTTGTGCCGGAGGGTTGTTTATCCAACTTTACGTTACACTGCGACTGGGGGAAAGATAATTAGTGAGAAGGGTGTGGGCACCCTTTTGTCAGTGACAGCGAGCTTGAAGCAATGTATCAGGCAGTTCAGGAAGTTGAATTTTATCAAGGGTGACAGAGATCCTGATCCGCAACCTTGTTTCAGAATGTTCCATGCCACGCAGGCTCACACAAATGCGCAAATGAACAAGTTTTTGTCCACAATGGTTGAGTGGTATCGGTATGCTGACAACCGTAAGAAAATTGTGAACTTCTGTTCATACATAATTAGGGGTTCTCTTGCAAAGCTATATGCTGCCAAGTACAAACTCCGTTCACGAGCTAAGGTGTACAAGATTGGTGCAAGAAACCTGAGTCGTCCATTAAAGGAAAAGAAAGGACAGTCTCCCGACTACCATAATTTGCTGAGGATGGGTCTTGCTGAGTCTATTGACGGTCTCCAGTATACTAGAATGTCTCTTGTTCCTGAAACTGATTATTCTCCTTTCCCTTGTAATTGGAGACCTGATCATGAGAAGGCATTAGTGGAATACATTAGGCTTGATGACTCGAAGACTTTGGAAGAGCAAAGGAGTTGCATTCGAGAACAAGGTCTTGTGTCCCCTCAGGAGTACATTTCAATGCTCGTTTGGAACTACAAGAGGAATACTGTCCGAATGGATCAGCTGTCCTTGCACAGTAGCAGCGACAATGGTATCGAAAATAGACAGTTACTTTTGGGATCGAATCTTGAAAAGAAGGGTGATGATTGCAAAGAAGAGCAAGATGATGAACGACTTTATGTGGCACAAGGGTGAAACATGTTCTCTCTTTGCGATAAGAATTTTTCCCTTTTCAGACGTCTAGCTTTCAACTGAGTAGTAAAAGAGAGATGACTTTGCTAGTAGAGAAACTTAGATGACTTCTGCAGTATTATTGTAAAATGCAAAGGGATGTGGTATCGTGTATAGTCCTACTTTTAGGAAAAGAAAAATCTTGGGCCATGAAATGGAATCGGAGCGACAATTAATGCTGCCGATGGAAGATGTCAGTGTTTTTTCTTCTTTCTCAGGAATGGTTTTCATCATCTGGACTTTATGAGGCCTTTTCCATTTCCTTGATCGTCTCTGGTCATGAAGAGCATTTGTTAATTATCTGTTTGGCCAGAGTAATTCTGAAAGTTTTTCTTTTGGTGCTCCCCACTGGCGCTCTTTGACCGGGAGAACATAGTGGAGGTAATTCCTTGTCTCTCACCCCATTAGTGCATCCTCTTTTTTATACCTATTTGCTAATTAATGCAGTTTTGAAAGCCAATGCAACTTTTCCAGAGAAGACTCCACCTTCAAGCTCTCTGATTCTTTAGTCAGCAGGCAACAGAGCCATCTTCTTCAGGTAAGTGGTAAGCTTGGGCGCCAATGGATGCACACAAGTTCAGTTGAAGTTCCAGCCTAACATCTCATCCCTATCAGTGACTTCTCTACTGTAGTTTTCATTCTTCATATTAACCTAGTAGTGATGCTTAAATTGGTTGGACAGGTTGGTTTCAACCCTTTCTATTCATGTCTTGCTGGTCAAGGAAGCTTCTAATTGGATGCATTTTTTCTCAAATATTAAGTGTAAAGTTGTATACAGATTTAAAGAAGTACTGCTTTGTGTGATGGTTTGATATTGTTCTTGAATTATGGCTTTACTGATCAAGTGATTTAGCTTGTAAATTTCATGTTCTTAGAGATACTGATTTGAATATGGAAGAAAGACGGAATTTCAATAGCATTTGGTTGGTTATGATGTGATTATCATTTCTTAGGACTGGTATATTTACTTTGTTATTGATCAATAAAAATTGTGATCATGAAGATGATCCATTGAAGCAGTGGATGCTCTTCAGATTTGATTTTTTAGAGCTTAGTCTGTAAATGCACAATTTCTGCAGGAAAAAAGCATATGATGATTTCGAAAAGCAGATGGGGAAACATCTTCTATGGTAGCCAGCCAATCGGACAAAGCTGGTGATGTTGTATAGATGTCTTTTTGAGTATTATCCCCGCCTATAGATATAGATGGGAGGTAGGCGAGGGTAGCTTGCTTCTGCTCTCCTAGTCTACCTGCACATGTTATTCACCAAGAAAAGGCAGCAAGTGGTTCTTCGCTTAGTAGAGCTACCGGCCGCCGGACAATGACCGCTTCTTGTTCTCGCCCAGCCGCTTCTTTTGAGTTGATTTTTATTTAGAATCCTAGACTAAAGAAGAAGCTCCTGAATTAGCGCAGGGCCAAATCAGCAGCAGGACAGTTGGCTTAGCTCGTTCTATGGCTCGCTCATTTGGTCCAATCAAGCAAAGGAGCTCGACAAGCTCTGTCCTTGATCAACATGGCTTTGGGATGCATCCAGAGGATGTTCATTATTTTGATTTTCACCTTCTTCGGGGACCTCTTCACTGCTTCCAGAATATGTTGACATGATTGCCTTGACAAATTTGACTTTCAACCGAACTCAATCGATTGCGAAATGTCCAAGTTCTTCCAATATCTTCAATAAAATTTCATCACTCTGCTCCTCAGTGATTTTTTCACGAAAAGGCTTTTCTGGATGGTGTTGTCATGTGTTGAATCTTGCTCTGATAAAAAATTGATGTGGGACAATCTGATTTGCTTGAATTAGATTTGGAAGTACTGTTATAGGGCTGTGAACAGTACTGTGGGTTTAAGTTGGCTGATAAGTGTGACAGAAATTGATGAGCGTTTGGGAGACCTTGGAAGAAGGGTCAGGAAAGAAAAGGAAAGTTATTAATCTAATAAAGAAAATAAGTCGGATTATCATCTAAAACTAAATCTCCATTTGGCATGCCTTTTGCAAGTCTTCGAAGGTTGTTGCTATAGTTCTCCATCACCTTAGGTACTTTTGTGTCTGGATGCTCTCCCAGATTTCCATACTTTTTCTTTCTCCTGGGAGCGACTGCGGTTTGAGGGTTATTGACACCAACCTTATTTTGCATCACAGTAGAACCTTTTCAGAATCCACTCAGATACTCTAGCCTAGTTGCGTACATTAGATTTGTCCTTGCTTGGATATAATGTTGTTGAATGCATATATTGGCAGTGTTCACAATTTTCTGTTGTTTCGAGTCTCGAGGCAGGCCAACCTTGAACTAGTTGCTCACTTTGGCGGCGACTTTATGTTTGGACCTGCAGGGATTTTGGTGGATGTAAATTTCCATGCCTTTGCATTAGCCCGCCTTAAGGTATATGGTTTGAATCTGTGATAGGACTCCATGACTAAAAATTAGTTTAAATGAGCTGGTCCGGGCATTCTCCAGTGGGCTCTAGTAACTTAAATCCGCGTGCTTAATGTCTGATTTCCCGTCAATTCTTTTGTTGGCTAGGACTAGGTAACGTAAAGTGCTTAGTGTAATTGGGTTGGATTGGTAGCAATGAGGTTTTAGGCCTTTCTCAAAGAAGCTGTCGGAAATATTGGTCGGACTGGTTATATAGGCTTTTATTAGGACTCCGACACATAACAACTACATACAGGCTTCTCTAATTCTAGTTCCGAGGTGATTATTTTAACAAATCTGTAATTTCCTCAGCCATGTGATCTTGCTCTTCTCATAGAGGTATGAACTTGGTCACCTCAATAGTCAGAGGGACCTGTCAATAGCTGAAATAATTGTTGGGGCCGAACGATCATAGCGGTCGTCTGGAGGCCGCCCAGGGAAAGCGTGCTTGTTAAAAAGTAGGGGAGCTTGAACCTCATCCATCTGTTCAACCACTGCGAGTCATAACGATGATTTTGGTTCCAGTACCACAGCAAATGGAGCTTCCGAGCAAACGTTCGATTTCCTGGACTGACGACATTTCTAGGACAATCAAAACTTTATGACACCGGAGGAGAATATATTTTGTGACGTCGGTGCCTTCATTCGGAAGAATTGAGCTTCGGACATTCTCATCCGTGTAGGTCGGTAATGAGCTGTTATTGCAGAGTGATGTTTCTCCTGTTTCCCATTTTCACAAACCTCTGCAAGGAACGTAGGCTCGGGAAAGAAGGGACAGTTTGAAACGCACGTACACCTCCGCTGCCTATGGGTTTCTCTCTTTTACACGATGATTCGTTCCAACCAGCTTTCCGGTAATATTTCTTCGACATTCGCTTGACATATGTTGCCCCAGATAAAATGTTGATTTCAATTTGTTCTTTTAAGTACAAAAATACAAAGCACAGATACTGGTCAGCATTCATGGTCAAAAGAAATGATATGGTCCCCATCTCTGCCATCAATACCCAGAAATATACTTGGAAATTGCTGATTCAAACACTGCCACAACTAAATTTGAAAAAATGATCAGGAGCTCTATCACGCTAGCTCATGTGCCAATTGTTGAACACCGAATTGATCCTCATTTGAGCTTTGTTCAATAAGTTAATGACGACTGAATTTTTTGGGAGAAATGAAGCCAAATAATAGTGCCAAGTAGCTAGAAATGCCGTACAGAGAAACTAAACAGGGACTATATTCTGATGCAATATATTTTCTGATTGCAAAATGATAAAAGAAAAGTACGTATAAATCAGTACACTAAACACCCCTCCCTCCCTCCCTCCCTCTCAGCAATCCAGCTGAACATCAACGAATACCCAATGCGTATAGATTCTAAATGTTGTAACATCAAAGGTATTATTATGCCTAAGCACTCCAGCTCCTTCGTCCGTCTCGTCACAGCCATCTATTTTATAGTTATCGCCCACCCAAAAGCGGCTTTCAGCTTAAGCCATGCCACAGCAGCCTTTCTCGGCTTCCAATTTCGCTCAGGTTCAAAGGTCCGATTAGAACCTGCAACATTCCAATGTCCAATGGTCTCAGATGTCTCTTAGTGATCTCTGTATTTAACAAAACCTATCTAGTAAACGTTGAATGGTCACATTTTCCAGGTCCTGTTCATTCCATGGTAGAAGCATATCACCTAGAACTGGAAAATGAGAAGTCATCGAAGCAGAACGAGCTGCCGTCGACATAGAGCTCGTCGTGTCACAAACTGTAGCTTGTAGGCAGTTCTCGATATTCCCTGCTTCATGGGAAACAAACTGTTGCAGGTTTTGAAGAGTGCCAAGGGAGTAGTAACCAACACAGCATACGGTGGTGTTATCACTGGTGAAGGCTGACATGCTGTTTGAACTGGTCACTGAATCGGAGTTGAACATATCACCACCATATTCTGAGATTTGGCCACAATTCTGGTAGGTGATTTTTGACATGGATTCGAGGTAGATCTGCAGAATGGATTCAAAGAAAAAAATTTCTTCACATTCGAGAGGAAAGTCAAACCAAATAATTGCATGGGCAACATTAGTGTAGAAAGAAAGTGCCTAGGAAGTCTGTCTAACGAGAAGATCACCGACTTTTCCCTACTATAATTTCGCACTTAAAACAAGCTGCAAATTGTCATTATGTCATATCACATTTTATTAAAGAACTATGTTCATTTATTATCAATGTGAATTTTTGTTTGTCTCCCTTATCCTCAGATTAAAGCTTGTAAGCTCTGGTTTCCTTGCAGATATGCAATGCTCAATAATCATGACTGAGCCAGATTGTGGCAACACTTTGAGCCTAACCTTTTGATCGCTGGAAAGTAATCCCATATCTAAGAATTGTCCATTACAGATGAGTCCTTTGAGCTCATAGTTCCAGTTGAAAAGAATGGCATTGGATTGGCCTTCATTGCAATAGTAAACATACTGCTTGGCATCGGAGACACATGACATGGCATGCTCCAGAGTATGCTTCCACATAGCATCGGAGATTCCACCACCCACGATCTGAAATTCAGATAATTCAACAAGAACTAAGTAAAGAAAAATAAGGACTCAAATATAAAGGCACGGTAACAGTAGGGAAACATAACAAAGACTAAAAGGCGAGACTTTACATTCTCAGTCTTAATTGATCCCTGGAAAGAAGGCCGAGAAAATCTTGGACTGCGACAATCCCAGCTCCTGTCAATTGTTTGTGCACTTGTCCACCCATCGCTATTCCAACCAGTCTCCAGACATAATCACTTGGTAGAAGTGGGAAACGCTTCTTGGCAACTATAGAAAGTACAAGAAGCAGAAACTTCACAACAAGCACAGCATTATAAATCTCCTCCAAAGATGAACTGCTTGCGTAAGCTAAAACCAATGTTGAGCAAATTCATCTTGCGATAGTCTCTATGTCAACAAAAGTACTAACCTCTAACCAACACTGGTTTTAGCCTACGCAACTCTGGATACTAGCTGTCTGAGTAGTTTTAGATGATGTGTTTAAACAAAGACTATAAAAACAGTAGTTGCTTCGAAGACTCACATTCTTCACGGCTATCTTCAACAGTGAGGGTGGTTCCTTCAGGTGTAAATTCTGCAAGCATGATTTTCCTGGTGGAATTCCGAGGGATAAGTCACACTTAGCTTGCGTTCCCAGTTGCAACGTTGCTACATGTACTGAGGTTCCTAAGGATGTTCAGGCTATAGCTTTAAAAAAATTAGCCCTCAAAATTAGAAAGATAAAAGTCTGTCTCAACTGACCACTTCAACACCACTTCTAGACATCCAGATAATCAACACGCTAGAAACATCTACAAAGAAAGGACGGGATTGTCTAGATGAGTTGCTTGCAAAACATGATGTGCTCAACAACATTTCTCGAAGGTCCTTCAAAGTTTGCATTTTGTGGGTTTCTTGCATGGGGTTGCAAACTACGGGCGTGATTATAAGTTGCCTTCTTATTCCATTCTCACCACGAAGTTTATCCCCAAATTAAGTATGGAAGTTAGTATGTAAATGGTGTTGAGAAATCATGTGCTTTAACGAGGTGTACGGTAATTCTAGATGGTGAGGTTAATGTTCACAGAAGAGCCTACCTAAACATCATTTTATATTCTCTAAAGGGTAAGCCTTGTGAATACCGTTTAACTTCCGAAGAATGAGTTGACAAATAGGTCTATTGTGGATCGATTGCAATCTGCAATAGATGAAATAGGACTTCAAAAAGTTGTAAAGTTCATCACTAATGATTTGGATAACCACGAGCCCCTCCATACGCTTATCCAAAGGTATCTAGGTACCTCTATATAACATTTTGTGCTGCTCACGGCATTTAGTTGCTTTTCGCATATATCTTTCAAGAGGTTGAATGGGTTGGAAGGACGATGTACGATGTTAAATTGGTGAATGACTATTTGAACAAGTATGCCCAGTCTTTGTCCTTGTCTGTGAAATTCAAAGGCAAAAGGGAATTGGGAGATGTTTTTCCTAATGGTTTAGTCTCAAACTTCAGAATGCTTCAGTGTATTCACAATGCAAAGTCAAAGATACTACGTTTAGTTGTTTCTATTGTTGAAACATGATCGATAGTCGCTAGTGCACTATGAAGAGGAGTAAGGCAGCCAAGCAAGATTTATGAATTAATATGAAAATTAGTTAGTTGTCTCAAAAAGAAACAACCAAAAATAAAGGCAAAGAAACTTGACCACGGATACCAGATAAAAGAATACTTTAACTTAGGTAGGTATTAAGCCGGCATGG